ATACAAAGTCACATTCCTTCATGGTCCATTTGGATTTCTAGCCAACACATATAAATAGAAAGAAAGGTTAGTAAGTGACACAGTAAAGTGCACATAACCTGGTTAGATAGTGCTCAATAAAAGGCAACTGCAGACGTTTTTTCTTTATTGGTTAACTACAGTTCTTGTTTCCTGTAACACTTTATCTGTGCTTTACATTTAATAACTCTTCCTACTGAAAACACCTTTTTTAAAGCTGGGTCAACCATTGTTATTTTGCAAAAGAATGAATTTAGTTTTATTAAGGGTTAAGGCAGAATTTTGTAAAGTGTATACAAAATATTCTGTGCAGCGTGGGTTCTGGGGCCAGATTCTCGTGCTTAAGATGCATCTCTGTGTCCTGCTGCAGGAACACAGACAGACGTGCAGTTGAGAGATCAGACCTTATCTTCAACTCATGTCCCGCTCTAGTGTTTTTTTTTTGTTCAACGAGAGGGATTAATGTCTTAACTCAATTGTCAATTTTTTGTGTAGCTTTTCCAACCCACAGTTTCTATACTGTGAAAAAACATGAATACATATTAGACTCCCAATATTTACTTAGTAAAAAGGTAGGAAATTATATTATATCAAATTGATTAAACCTGGAAATAAAGGAGATGCAGAAGACGTATGATTGGACCATGTAGATTAGATGAAACAGCAGATGATCCTGGGGAAGAGAAGTGAGGCAAAACAATGAAAAGAATGGAATACACATCTGGACTGAGGAGAGGCTGAAGACTGAGGGCCAGTGATCTGAAGATGTTGATCAGTGCTGACTACATTTACACTAAAAATAATTCTGATTCAAACAAACCCCTTCCTGCTACTGGTTGTCCTGACTCCATTGTTTTCTAGTGGAGCTGGTGTGAACCAAGTGACCTTAGGTGGACTCCGGGGTATTTTCTGAGCTGAGTCAGTCCGCTCTTTCTGTGGTGGTTCTCTTATCTCTCCCCAGGCAGTGAAAAACAATGATCAATTGCAACGTTTGTGTTACCTGAGTGACATACATACTCAATTTACGTCAAGTGCTTCAGCAGCACAAGCTTCTTTATACTTTTAATCGAAGAATTTTCCAAGCCTTAAACATAAAAGAAGACATAAAGACCTTAAGTTACATAAGTTACATCTTCCCTGTCAGTACATTGTAAACTTCTGTCTTTATCTGAAAATTATTACCAACAAATGTTCAATAAATTGGGAGTACACTGTAAAAAAAAAAATGTGTTTTTTACAGGAAATCGCTGGCAGCTGGAGTCACCAGGAAATTCCTGTAAAAAATACAGTTGCACAGTAAATAGGTTTACATACAGAACTGTAAATCAATTTACAGTGATTAAATGTCAAGCGGAACCACATTAAAAATCTGTTAAGTTGTCAATTAAAGAACGTTATAATAGCATAATTGTATTGTGTTTAGACTAACAGTTTCCTGTGTATTATACAGAAAATATGTGCTTATTGTGCATCAAACACCTGTTAAATTTACAGGGACTTAACTGGTAGAATTACAGTAAAAGTAAGTTTTTTGTAATGTGATGTTCTGCATTTAATACATAAAATCCTTGAATAATATACAATGTTTCCATGTTCTATTAAGCAAATTATACACTGAAAAGAATCTACCAACCCAAAAAAATACCACATAAATGTAAAGTATCACATTTATTTAGCAGCCAGCATTGTAAACATTTTTTGCATCAATCAAGAAGAATTATGTTTGGGATAAAAAAAACCACAACATCCTACTCATCTAATTGGAAAACATACTAGGCTTTACAGACTTGCAAGAAAGATCCCTTTGCTGAGTGCTGTTGGAGTGAGGGTGGTCCTCTTTTTCACTCTTCTCTCTGAAAAAGCCCTTCTTAAAATGTGACAGACAAACTTGTCAAACATGTATGAAAACTAATGACAGAGCCAGGTATCAGTGAACTAGGTTTTATCGGTAAACTAGTCTAGTCTGTTTTCAGTACAGAACTAAATACCTTTTCAAATTCTCATTTTTGTCTATTTTGGACATAAATTCAGACAACTGGTTTAGAACACAATACCCATAGACTAAAGGCCTATGCAAATATGACTCTTGAACAACAACATGCACATCAGCAGGATGCAACTAGAAACTTGCAATGGCTGAAGCCATTGCGATTGACTGCGGAACAGATCTAATGTGGAATTTAGCTGAAAAATCCTTGAAATCCTTGAAACTGTTAAAATACTTTAAACATCTTTGAAACTCCTGAAGTATTTGAAGCTCCTGATATCCTTTAAACTGTTATCCTTTATACTGGTTTACATGTAAAAACCCCTATTAAGTTGCATTATACTGGTTTACATGGAAAAATCCCCATTAAGTTGCATTATACTGGTTTACATGTAAAAAACCCTATTAAGTTGCATTATACTGGTTTACATGTAAAAACCCCTATTAAGTTGCATTATACTGGTTTACATGTAAAAATCCCTATTAAGTTCCATTAAGTTGCATTATACTGGTTACATGTAAAAAAAAACCCCTATTAAGTTCCATTATACTGGTTTACATGTATTAAGTTGCATTATACTGGTTTACATGGAAAAATCCCCATTAAGTTGCATTATACTGGTTTACATGAAAAAAACCCTATTAAGTGGCATTATACTGGTTTACATGAAAAAAACCCTATTAAGTTGCATTATACTGGTTTACATGGAAAAATCCCTATTAAGTTGCATTATACTGGTTTACATGGAAAAATCCCTATTAAGTTGCATTATACTGGTTTACATGGAAAAATCCCTATTAAGTTGCATTATACTGGTTTACATGTAAAAATCCCTATTAAGTTGCATTATACTGGTTTACATGGAAAAATCCCTATTAAGTTGCATTATACTGGTTTACATGGAAAAATCCCTATTAAGTTGCATTATACTGGTTTACATGGAAAAATCCCTATTAAGTTGCATTATACTGGTTTACATGTAAAAATCCCTATTAAGTTGCATTATACTGGTTTACATGTAAAAACCCCTATTAAGTTCCATTATACTGGTTTACATGTAAAAACCCCTATTAAGTTCCATTATACTGGTTTACATGTAAAAAACCCTATTAAGTTCCATTATACTGGTTTACATGAAAAAAACCCTAATTAAGTTGCATTATACTGGTTTACATGTAAAAACCCTATTAAGTTGCATTATACTGGTTTACATGGAAAAATCCCCATTAAGTTGCATTATACTGGTTTACATGAAAAAAAACCCTATTAAGTGGCATTATACTGGTTTACATGAAAAAAACCCTATTAAGTTGCATTATACTGGTTTACATGGAAAAATCCCTATTAAGTTGCATTATACTGGTTTACATGGAAAAATCCCTATTAAGTTGCATTATACTGGTTTACATGGAAAAAAACCCTATTAAGTTGCATTATACTGGTTTACATGTAAAAACCCCTATTAAGTTGCATTATACTGGTTTACATGGAAAAATCACCATTAAGTTGCATTATACTGGTTTACATGTAAAAAACCCTATTAAGTTGCATTATACTGGTTTACATGGAAAAATCCCTATTAAGTTGCATTATACTGGTTTACATGTAAAAATCCCTATTAAGTTGCATTATACTGGTTTACATGTAAAAACCCCTATTAAGTTCCATTATACTGGTTTACATGTAAAAAACCCCTATTAAGTTCCATTATACTGGTTTACATGTAAAAAAAACCCTATTAAGTTCCATTATACTGGTTTACATGTAAAAAAAAAAAACCCTATTAAGTTGCATTATACTGGTTTACATGTAAAAACCCATATTAAGTTGCATTATACTGGTTTACATGGAAAAATCCCCATTAAGTTGCATTATACTGGTTTACATGAAAAAAAAACCCTATTAAGTGGCATTATACTGGTTTACATGAAAAAAACCCTATTAAGTTGCATTATACTGCATGGGAAAAAACCCTATTAAGTTGCATTATACTGGTTTACATGGAAAAATCCCTATTAAGTTGCATTATACTGGTTTACATGGAAAAAACCCTATTAAGTTGCATTATACTGGTTTACATGTAAAAACCCCTATTAAGTTGCATTATACTGGTTTACATGGAAAAATCCCCATTAAGTTGCATTATACTGGTTTACATGGAAAAATCCCCATTAAGTTGCATTTATACTGGTTTACATGGAAAAATCCCTATTAAGTTGCATTATACTGGTTTACATGGAAAAAACCCTATTAAGTTGCATTATACTGGTTTACATGTAAAAACCCTATTAAGTTGCATTATACTGGTTTACATGGAAAAATCCCCATTAAGTTGCATTATACTGGTTTACATGAAAAAAAACCTATTAAGTTGCATTATACTGGTTTACATGAAAAAACCCTATTAAGTTGCATTATACTGGTTTACATGGAAAAATCCCTATTAAGTTGCATTATACTGGTTTACATGGAAAAATCCCTATTAGGTTGCATAATTACACTGAAGTCCTTGAAACTGCTGAAGTCCTTGAAACTGCTGAAGTCCTGAAGTCCTTGAAACTGTTGAAGTCCTTGAAACTCTTGAAATCTTGAAACTGCTGAAATCCTTGAAACTGTTGAATCCTTGAAACTGTTGAATCATTGAAACTGTAGAAATGTCTGAAAAGAGCTGAAGTCCTATTAAAATGCATGGGCCTATTAAAATGCATTGCAGAATTCTCAATGCAGATTTTTGTCCGATTGCGGAAAAACCGGAAATCGCTGAAGTCCCAAAAGTAATAGCAATAATCTCCCAAACATGTGGAACGTTTTGATGTATAACTTGTGGAAATTGTTGAAAATGTGAAAGCTGTGAAACGTGTCAAAAAAAATGACGGAATAAAGAAATACAAAACCAATGGTTGACTGCGGAAGGTTCCGCAGTCAATCAATTATACAAACAAACAATTGCTTTAACAAAAGTGCATCAAAGAACAGCCAAAAGTCCACATCTGCTTAACGCCACTCATGGTCAGAAAGTTCCTGTATAAGGGGGAGTACTCGGGGGTTCATGTTGAGATGTCTCTTGTTATTCCCCACTTTGGTTCCTTTTTCAGGATTTATGGAGAAGAAGCATCTGTAAAATACATTGAACCAAATAAGCATTTGAAATGCATTGGTAAAAGAAAGTATGTATTTAAAATAATAATATATAATAACAAATATATTATAAATAAATACATTTGCATATTTCTTGGTACACAGAGATAGAGAGATGGTTAGATGGAGAGAGAGATGGATAGAGGAGAGATTTTAGAGAGATATGGATAGAGATAGAGAAAGGATAGATAGAGAGGAGAGATTTAGAGAGATATTGATAGAGATAGAGACAGAGATAGAGAGATGGATAGAGATAGGGAGATGGATAGAGGGAGATGGATAGAGAGAGATATGGAGAGAGAGAGAGGGAGAGATATAAATAGAGAGAGGGATATAGATGGATAGAGATAGAGGGAGAGAGAGTGAGAGAGATGGATAGAGAGAGATAGAGGGAGAGATAGATGGATAGAGAGTGAGAGAGAGATATAGATGGATAAGAGATAGATGGATAGAGAGAGAGAGATATAGATGATAGAGAGAGAGATGGATAGAGAGATAGTGAGAGAGAGAAAGAAAGAAAGAGAGAGATAGAGATGGATAGAGGTATAGAGAGATTTTGATAGAGATAGAAATATGGATAGATATAGATAGAGACAGAGATATAGAAAAATAGAGATAAATGGATAGAGAGAGAGATAGTTTGAAGCAGATGATTGCTTGCTCACCTTTGAAGAAACTCAAGAGTGGAACCCAGTCCAGACGGATAGTGTATATTGAAGCAGTAGAAGCTCCCAAACATGAGGCACAGAGCAGATATGAATGAAGAGATGGTTCCATTTGTGATCTCCCGGTCTACACTCAGCATGTACCTAGTGGCTGAATAGCAGGACTGCCCTGTGAACAAAATATTGGAATTATTATTCATAAGTACATAACGCGTAAAGCCAAAATGAAGCATACTTACCACAGACAACAACGGCTGGTGTCAATGGCAGTTGTTCCAGCTGGACTTCAGCCAGACGTGTATCGTCTACATAATTGAACATAGACTCCTCCTTCTCATCAAAATAATTGAGCAGAAGCAGGATCATCTCTTTCATGTCTGAACAGCACGTCTGTTGTCCTCGCAGCCTCTGAAGCCTTGCATATTCTTGGAGGAATTTGTCACTTTTTTTCACACAAACAGTGGTCATGTAGTTGAGAAGCCTTTGCCCCTTCAAATCCAAATTTCGTGTGAATGTCTCTTGAAGATCTAAACCAGTTAGCTCTTTGTAGTGGACGGACATGCCAAGTTCATTAAACAAAAATGGCCACTCATCACACAGGTGTCTTATACTTTTTCCCTGGTTGACATGGAGGCGCTGTGTGTAATAGGTGGACTTTATTAGGCACTTTACCTCCTCTGGATTAACATTTGAACTGTTTTTCATCGTCTTGAGTTTTTCAATCTTTTGCTGCTGGCTTTCTTTTGTTTCCTCAAGAGGCATACATTTAACTCTTTCAGTGCCAGACATTTTCAGAACATCACTCCTCCAGTGCCAGCCGTTTTGCTGATTTTCACCGACTTTTAAAGACCCATAGAATATGTTCTGCTATGACTAGCTTAAATCTGAGACCATATTCTGAAAGATTGAACCCTCTAGTTTACTCAGAAAAAATAAGTGTGTTTCTATCGGCTTTAGTTCTTCTGTAATCACCATTGGAGTAAGGTAAACTTTTCACAGAAATCATCAGTTTCCGACATAAAGCTGAGAAAATGAGGTGTTTGTGAAAATAAGCAAACAATGCAGAAAAGTGACTTTGAAAAGTTTTTTTTTTACTTTAGTCATTTCTCACACAACAGAACATTCTTCCCATGTATAAAATAAGGGAAATGACTCAAAATAAAGTGCTTTTGATAGCAAAATAATACTCAGAACACAGAATAATACTCAACACAGAATAAGAAATGTACAAACATAAATTACAAACAAATAACTATATACATAAAGTGCTGATTGGCTGAGAGTGTGCGTGTGTGCGTGCATGTGTGCGTGCATGTGTCTCTGTCTATATAGTGTAATCTTGTTGTGTATGATATTTTGTGAAGCACTCTCCTTTGTGTAAGGGGACACCACATGCCTTGCACCACATCCTGGTCTCACTGCGCAGGCCTTTGGGCATGCAGACCCTGCATCTCCTCGAGGGTCTGGTCTTCGAGCCGGAGGACAGCAGGTACTCCACTTTGTGCCTGGCACCCTCATCGAGCCTGCTCTCTGGATCAGTGTTATATGGAGCCCTGGGGTTTCGTGGTGCTCCTTCCTCCACACATGCAACGATTGACTCGTTCTCCTCGTTGTGGTCCTCCTCGTCCTCAATGTCCTCCTCGTCCTCGATGTCCGCCTCGTCCTCGATGTCCTCCTCGTCCTCGATGTCCTCCTCGTCCTCGATGTCCTCCTCGTCCTCGATGTCCTCCTCGTCCTCGTCCTCGATGTCCTCCTCCTGGACCTTCAATGTCCAGGACCTCATGACCCCCTGCATGAATTCCAAGAGGGTTTTGTATTCCCGGTTCCCGTTCCTGGCTCTGTAGAGAGTGTAGGCATTGTACATTGCGATTTGGAACAGGTAAGCTACACATTTTTTGGTCCAGTTCAGAGACTTCCGGACGAACGGGTAATATTTTATGTTCTGATCCAATCGATCCACGCCATTCATGGAGGAGTTATAGGCATCGACACACTCCGGTTTTAGGACAGACACCTTCTCCCTCTGTCCTCGCTGCCTAACGTCGACACTCGTCATATTGTCATGGTGACATGTTGTCAACATCTTGACAATCCGTTTGTCCCGCCACGCCAGAACCATGACCTTCCCATTGTTCACCGCGACTCTCCCCCCCACACTCAGCTCAGTCTTGGTCACGTCCCTAATGCTCTCAGGCTCTCCCCGGTTCTTCCTTAGCGTCCCACACACATTTGTTTTTACTGCCATCAATTGCTCAGACAATGCCACAGAATTGTAATAGTTGTCCATAAACAGAGTGTGGCCGGCACCTGGGAGACAGTTACATCAATTGCAGAGTTGTCATTGTAATGGAGGAACCTCCATATGAGTTGGAACCGGTTCCTGGACATTATTTTAGTGAAGAACGGGGTCACAAACATCTCATCCACGTTCCAATACATTGCCAGGGTTGGCTTGTGGATAACACCAGTGAGGAAAGATAATGCAAAGAACTTTTTTATCTCTGGAATGGTCACTGGTCTCCATGCATGCTTTCTGCTGTGTTGCGGAATCTCTGGGTTTGCCAGGAAATGCTGTTGAGCATAGAGGTTGGTCTGCTCTGTGATGTGCTGGAGCAGCTCGTCCGTGAGGAACAGCTCCAGGAAGTCAGCAGGCGAGGTGGACTCCAGCTCTGCTGCCGCGTTCAGGGGACCAGGCGTTGCAGTGAAGGGGAACACAGTGGGTTTCCATCCGGATTTCCGCCAGGTGCCGCCTTTACCCTTTGCAACTGTAATAAATTATGGAAATGTATACAATAAATAGGAATCAAATAGAGCTCGTTTTATTGTTTTGATGTGATGTAGAGAAAGATATTCCTACCTCTTTTCTTCACACCTGTATTTGCAGCACTCACGCTGGCAGCGCCTCTGCTCAATGTAGCGCCTGTATAGAATTGTACAATAACTCATCTATCCATATACACACATATCCAAATACATATACATCTACAGACGCACATATCCAAAGACACACAGACACACATGCACAGAGACACACGCACAGAGACACACGCACACACACACACTACACACTACATACATATTATACACATACATATACACACACATGCATATATACATACATATATGAGTATTTTATTTACCTGTAGGCCTCCTTTTACCAGCATTAGTACTCCTGGATTGGCCCAGCACTCTGCTTACTAGAAATACACACAAATACAATCATGAGAATTATACAAGAATACTTTTATTTCATTGCTAAATGCATATGTATAATGTATGCATTACCTGCTCTGCCGGTTGCTCTGGGGGAATCGGGGGATGAGTCACTGCTGTTTGGGTCAGCTTCAGGTTCCCATAGCTCTGAAGAGCCTGTATCCGACGAGGAACTTTCTCTGGACCGACGTGGACCACTGGAACTGCGTGCGGCGGCTCTGGAGCGACGTGCGCGGCAAGGACTCCCGCCAACGGCCAGATGTTTAGACTTAGCTTTAGCCGTAGCCTCAGGCTTTTTGCCAACTGAAGGCCGAGGCAGATCACCTCCACCTTCCTCATGGCCATCACCCACCGACCTTCTGATGGTACCACCAGCACCAAACGCCTCCTCCATCGTTAGCTGCCGCTTTCTGCTCATATTCGCTCTCCCGATTACTCTCTTGTGCTCACTCTAACCAACCTACTCCCACAATGAGATCTGGGCTTCCGGTTCCTTTTATGCCTGATCGAAGAGCTAAAGGAGGCTACTGACATCTGCTGGCCGAATAAAATACTGTCAAACAGTCCCGATCAGAGATATATGATAGAATGGATGCGTCTGGATCTGAATACACCAAAACACGTCAATTGCATAAAATGCGTCAATGGCACACAAGCATAGATCTTGAATTGACGTAATATGCGTCATTGGCACTGAAAGAGTTAACATTCCACTTAATGCAGCCATAGGTATCCTGCATTGATGCAGTCTCTTCGATTGGAATTTCATCAGTGTGGTCAGAATCATCAGCTTGACGTTTTCTTTTTCTTATTTTGGGTGTTGAGCTACGCTGCACATTTTCGATTCTGTTCTGCAATTGTTTAACCAGAGAGTAGTAACCAGTCCCAACGAAATTCCTCTCTATAATATCTTTGATATTTTTTGATATTTTACCACATCTACTGCTTGCTTTTTTCCAATACGTGGACCTTTTTCCACCATCTCTGTCACAACAATCCGGATCATCTTCCGTCTAAGTTTTGGATTCAATCGTTTTCCCCTTTCTAAACATTGAACCAAATCATCAGGGAATTTTTGCCATGGAATTTCAAAGTCTCCACACTGCGTGGTGATTCCTGAGCTGCTGGAGGAGGTTGACGATGAACTTTGAGGTGAAACAGAGAGGAATGATAAAGATCTTGCAGGTGAGACTTCCACAGATGATGAACTGTTCTCAGGTGTTTGATCTATAAAAAAATACAAATAAATCACTTAGGAAATCTAAACAAAGTATGTCCTGAACTGCGGTCATAAAATTTTTGAAATGATTCAATTACTTACATTTCTGTTTCCAAAAAGAAAGGAGTCGCCTCGCTTGTACAGGTCTTAATGCTGTCAAATCTTCATCCTTTATGAAGCGGGGATCATCATAAGTATTTACTCCAATGGCCTGCAGTTGTTCAACAAGAATGTCTTTTATCACAGCAGGAAGATCTGGTAGGACCTCAAAGATGGCTTGATCCAGAAAGTCACTCATTATTTACTAAGGGAGAAGGTAAAATACATTAATGAACAGGTACTATTTACAGAGTGAAAACTATAGAGCTAGTATTGTTTCAATAATATTTGTGTGTGTGTGTGTGTGAAAAAAATATATATATTTTTGCCTTGGCAGATTCGCAAGTGTAACTTGGACTGTGTGTGTCTGTACCCAGATTTGTGTGTGTGTAATTTGTCATTTGTATCTGTAACAGAACAATCTGTTACAGATACACGTTGTAAGAAGAGAAGAATGGAAAAAGCCTAAGTGCTACGCACAGGCTCTCGTTTTACACATATATACTGGATATATACATATATATCCAGTATGTAACATGTTTGCACATTTTCTCCTTTTGCACAATCTGAGTGTCTCTATCCATGCCAAATGTGACATGTAAATTTCTTCTATGTGAGATAAATAAAGCACATCTTATCTATACATGTCACCAATACCATCAGGGGAACACGCAGTATGCTTTCTACTCATGAGAAGTAAATGTTGATTTTTTTTGTGAAAGCATGGTTGCAGCCTTTCACTGGACAAGACACAGACTTGCCCTCTCCAAAGTGATCTTTTAAATGGCACACAATCTCTTTTACAGTGTCAAAATGGCGGCCACACAAGGGAACCGCGCATTTTAAAAAGCCAAGTACCGCTTGGGACGTGATGTAAAAATGTACATTGTGAAGGCGATAAAAGTGTCCCCTAAAAGCAGAGTACGTTGTAAATGTTTGAATACAATTGGACTCAACACATTTAAACACACAACGAGGTTCATTTCTGTGTACTCTACAATGTAGGACATAGCCTTTAGACGAGGCAAAAGTCTTTCTACAAAAGAAGCACGTGATAATTGCGAAAATGATGTTTAATTTCTCACATGAGCTCAAAGTAATTTATAAACTGGTTATAAACTGCGACTGAAGGTGCTAGCCTCCACCGCGCTAGCTTACACCACCTTACACCATGTGCTAAAACAAATGTAAATGCTTACCGGTCAAACTCTCAAATTTCTGCAACAAACACGGGTCAAAAAGACTATGGAAAGGTATCCAACTAAATAAAGCAGGCTGACAGCGAAAAGCTCGGCACTTTGTTCTCTGGTAGTCCGTGGGCTCGTTGTAGCGTTGTCAGAGTCAGTGCGAGGACGTGGAGCTCGAATGGGGAGCGCGCGCAGCGCGTGCTTCTGCTGCTGCTTCCGCCCACAGTCGTTATCCAATCAAAAACGATCTGCGGACTTTGAATTTTGAAATACAACATTTTCACAAACTATCATATCGTTGAGTAAAGGGTTAGATCATGATGGATACACGTGTAAAGATACATTAAATAAAATAATAATAATTATTATTTTCTCTTCATAAAACAACAATACATGTGGTTTTAATTTTATAGTGGACAAAGAATACAAATTTCAAAAGTGCACATTGAGGTATAGCATTCGTCCTTGTTAGTTATTCAACCTGTGATAAATCATAAAGCATAAAACATATTATTTCTGTTATTAAAACATATACAGGAGGTTTTGTACGAGGTCTTTTGTTCCATCATAATTAGAGAAGTAACTTCTGTATTCTAAGTGATACACTTCCAAAATGCTGCATTTAAAATTATAACAAAAACCGTGATGAAAAACATTTGATCTCAATGTTCACTGTTTAACAAACATGTTGAAAGTATCAACCAAAAATGTAAAGTCACTTACATTCTGGAATGCTTTTGAAATAACTGGCAAAAATGTATTTTCTTACAAATGTTTAAAGGCACACCGTGTAACTCTTGGCCACTAGGGGCGCTAGACCTGCAACTTTCACGTTTAGCGCCCCTAGTGGCCACAAGCAACTCAGCACTGTCGCAAAAGTCAACAAACAGTCAGCCGGTGTCTTTTGAGTGTGTATTCAGACAGCATGCACTGGTGTGTGTGTTCAAACTGTAGAGACATGCCTACAGATATTGAGAGACTCTGCTGTGGTCAGCCTCCAGACCGCTGCATTAGTAATCTACCACACATGGACTTCTATATCCTGGATGAGGGAGTTCTGCGTCTAGCTCGTGCTGCGTGGAATGACATCTTTGCAGTCGATGACATCCAGGAACCAGGTGAAGAGCAGCGCTCATACAGACATGCAGCTTACAGCACGATCCCTTTCGCGTTTCCTCTTTTTAGCCTCCTCCGAAGGTTTAAAATTTTTCCTTGCCTCAGCCATGACCAGGAGTCGAGCAGGTGAAAAATGAGTAGCAAAAGCCTTAGCTCCATGAGTATATCAGCGCCTGTAGCCGTAAAGCAAGTGTTTCTTCCAAGTCACGTGACCTGGTGGCAGACGGTCCGTCTGCTCGAAAGTTACATGGGCGGTATTTCAAGAGGGCAGCCCCGCTCGGAGCATTGCAAGTGTCAAGCGCTGTATATTGGCCCAAGTATTCATATAAAATAACTCATATGTGTCAACTCTTTAGGTCACAAAGTCCGCGGTGTGCCTTTAATGTAATGTCAACATAATAATTTCGTTTTTGGTGTTACAATATTTAACCGTTTTAATTACCGTAAGATGTATTTTTTACAAATATATTTGATTAAAATGGCATCTCGTTCCTGTAAACACTACATTTATTATTTGTTACATTGTTTACAAATAATGTATGTGATTTCAACAAAATTCCTTTGTTTTTTGTTTTACCATACAAAACTGTAGGGATTTCACAGAGTTTTTCTGTAAATTTTACAGTCTTTTTTTACAGTGTAGGCTTGAGAGAAAGCAACCCACAGTATGTATCTTCCTAGCACACATAAATGACGGCATTTGCAGTAAAAAGGCCTCTTCTCATTCCCTTGTCCTCATGTTGAGTGCAGTGTTGTGTCTGAGATTCTGAAAATTAACCCCCCTCGCTCTCAGTAACTATTATTCCTAACAACTGTAGAGGAGCTAATTATTGTAAGAATTATATTATATTGACACTCGGATCCTGACGCTTAGCTTCTCTGCTATTACAGTTTTTCTTGAAAGAGAAATAACACAAAAAATATCCAGAGCACCTTGCAATTGCACAGAACGCAATGGCATGTCTCAATTATTTCATAATGGTCTTAGTACATGTCTCAAATGTCTCAGTGGTGTGCAGCATGCACAATGAACCTTAATTTATATTTTTAAGACTTTTAGACCTACCATCTAAGCATTTTGGGCACTGTTGATTGTGAGAAACTGTTCTTTGACACACATGTTTTGGGAAGAGCTCCACGGCGTTGTGCAAAACCATCCAGGTGACATTTTTTGGAAAAAGCACCAAATGAATGCAAATGAGCCAAAGCGATTGAGAAAGGTTTTTTCCATTTTGACGGCACTGACTCTGATTTTAAGAATTTGTTTTTCTTCATATGTTAATAACCTATTGTTATTTCTTTTTCTCCCTGTTATTTCTTCATTATCTGTCATTACTAGATTAGAGTGATATCCAATGACACTCCTATGAGTGATATGTCCTGTACTGTAAAAGAATAATTTATACAAACTGTGGGAAAGAAGATAAAGTCTGAAAGAAAATCGTTTGAAAAAAAAGAGAGACAGGTTATACCTAAAGCTGATGCTTTGGAAATAATTATATGTTTTATATTTAGGAAACTGAACTTTAAGTTCATGAGTCAAAGACTGGGCCAACAAGAGATGATGATCAGTGAAATGTCACAGTATTGTCTTCGTTCTTCAGTGTCGGCTCCCGGGAGAACTGCAGCACAGGAGTACAGCGAGTGCTCAAGGAAATTGGAAAGTATATTATTAAGTGAATCATTTTTTTTCATGTCTTTTTGTCTGTTTACTTTTGTTGTTTATTTGATATCAACATACAACAAACATAGGTTAAAGCCCATATGAAATATGGATTTTATTTAATTTTGTCAAGT